GTGGGGGAACTTGCACAATCGGTGGCTGACTAAATACTTTTTTGCCCCACTGTATATATGTTTGCCTACTGGTGGTGGTCAGAGGGCCCGGTGGCGCCAGTGTCCAGCAGCCTCACCTCTATCAGTGTGCCCCAGGGCAGCTGTGGCTACAACGTAGCTCACCATTGCCAGTGTGTGAATGTGTGTGTGAATGGGTGAATGACTGAATGTAAAGCGCTTTGGGATCCTTAGACTGAGTAAAGCACTATACAAATGCAGGCCATTTACCATTTATATGTCTGTATTTGCAGGAGTTTACTCTTACACTTATATTTTTTTCATCATTACCCATATGAACTTTTGCACTTTTTGGATGGATGCATTTTATGTGACTGGAATGGGTTCTATGTGGCAACAAGAGAGATTTTCCCAGGGGGCAGTAAGGCAGATCTTGGATCTTGATTGCTTTTCCACTGTAGTGTGACTACTCATTAAGGCTGTTCTGGTCGACTGAACTATTGCCTAGTGTTGAACTTGGCTCAGTCATGCAACTTCTAACTGAAAAATTAGAGTATGTTCTTCTAAAATGGTTTTAACAACTTTTTGTACATGTTTTATTTTATTTTTTTACCTGGTCAGTATTCTCACCTCAAAAGGGTTTAACTTGGCCTCATGTGAGACACAACATAATACTATATCTGCTCATTGTAACGTCATCAAGTTAGCCGTACAAACAATTTTATCATACAGTAATTGGACAATATGTAAAGTTGTTTTGGTCACCTACAGGCCAGCCACGAGGGCAACTGTGACTTCATGATCATCCTCTGTCCTTCCTGTAAAGAGCTCATGAGAGCCAATGAGCAGGAACGCCACAATGAGAGAGAGTGTCCGGAGAGAACGCTCAACTGCAAATACTGCAAAGAACCCTTCCTGTTAAAGAATATCAAGGTCAGGCTTCTCTCTGTTACAGTAATGCATCATAAAAAGAGCTGTTGCATTCTGAAACATTAACATGATGCTAATTTAGTTGACGTTTATGTTATGATGCAGTATATGTGATTAAATGCATATGATAAAATATTGTAATCTCAACCTTTGCTTATTACGTTTTCCATGGTATTCAGCCTTATCTTATGGCCATCTTGTCTCAGCACTTAGTCATCAGTGAAGTATAAGATATGTAGAAGTATATGGCAAGTGTGTCCAATATTTCATGGGAAATGATCTGAGCCTGGTTCTGCTGGATGTTTCTTCCTATTAAAAGGGAGTTTTTTCCTTCTCACTGTCACCAAAGTGCTTGCTCATAGGGGGTCATATGACTGTTGGGTTTTTCTCAGTATGTATTATTGTAGGGTCTACCTTACAATAATATAGCACCTTGAGGCGACTGATGTAGTGATTTGGTGCTGTATAAATAAAACTGAATTGAATTGAAATGCTGACTCATTGTCACCACATACCCGTAAACACTTGTTTTTGTGCCATTACATTTGGGTTTAAATTTACCCTTCTCAGACATATTCAAGCACACAGATATGATACAAATATAGTTTTAGTGAAATAAAAGGAAAACAAAGATATATTTACCTTTAAAGCTATTCATAAATGACCATTGAGTAAATTCAGTAACCACTGAATGAGCTTTCACCCATATTGTGGTATTTCAGTGATAGTCATCTGTACACCTACAAACAGGACTAACAACAATAACATCTAATTTGGCTAATTTATGTAATTTTCTTATATCAGTATGAACTACCTCTGCATGCCTTAACCCTTGTGTGGTGTTCGTATTTTTGTTACTCAGCCAGTGTTCATGGGTCTGGTGGACCCGCTAGAGTTTTGGCTTTCCAAATTAACACTATCAAACAATTTTATGTTAAATTACTCAACAGATGTTTACTTCATCCCAATTACAAGACATATGAACAGCAAACATGGTTAATTTTTTCCCTTTACCTTTGTTAGATCACATTTATGAATTAATGTGCTTCTCGTTTTTCTTTTATAAAATGTTATAAATAAATCAGTTATAATCAAGTGGAGTGAGTGGAAAGACACAACACATTTACACGTGAAAAAATAATTAATTGTTAAATTTTTCTTTTGAAAAAAACTGAACACGGGTCTCACAGACCCGAACACCATACAAGGGTTAAGGCATCTATATAGTTAAACTGGTGTTAAGTTAAATAGTTAAGACAAGGAGCTGGACGAGAAGTGTTTTCTTTTATTCTGATCTACTTATTTTTTCAGGCTCATGATGAGATCTGTCCAAAGTATCCAATGATTTGTGAAGGTTGTGCGAAGAAAAAGATCCCCAGAGAAAAGGTACTGCAGAGATTTAATAGTTTTTTCATAATTCTGTTAGATTAATCTCATTTGCCATTTAGCTAGGGATCAAATTCTACACCGTATTCTACAGATCATTAGCTTCTTTCATATTTTTTGTTTTGCAGTATGTGGACCATATTAAGTTCTGCAGTAAATTTAAAGCTCCATGCAGATTTCATGTTGTTGGCTGCGATACGTCTGTAAGTAGACATTTTTGTCAGAATTTGCTGTATGTGTATCACCTGATCACCTGTTAACATCATAACTATTGAATCATTTAATACCTTGGCAAAATTCAACTAAATCTTCCATGTAGCAGACTAAATTTTTCCAACAGTTTTAACTAAAACAACAAAATGTAAGTACCTTATTTCTTTACTAAAATAACCATAATTTGACAAAGGTTGGGCAGTGTAAAATCTCTATTAAAAAAGTGTATGAATATTCCGCAGTGGTTTGCATATAATGTAAAGCCAAAGTATTATATTATTCAGCAGTTGAAGAGTTGGTTGCTACCCACCTGTATGCAAATACTGTGATGTTGAGTAGGAAGCCTGTTTGTATATTAGCACAGTGCCTATACGAAGTATTCAGCTATTGGGTTTTTAAGACTTTCTCTAAAGGACAGTTGGTTTATACACAATAAAATTTTGATTGCAGCATTCATCCTTTCACTGATGTAGGCTCACATCAGTAGAGACAGGGCTCATTTCCACAACAAAAACTATGCTGAAAAGTGTGTTGATAACCCTCTTTGTGACAGGCTCTGATAGAAATGTATTGAATTATTATAAATACTGAGTGAAAATATAAATGATGAATGAAGAAAGTTGTTGGACTGCTGTTAACAACTGGTATTATTATTACTAGTTGTTAATAATGTCCATGTCACAATTGGTGTTATATGGCAGGCTTAAATAGTAAGAAAAAAGTGTGTAAAATTACAAATTCTGGTAGCTCATTGTCCAGATTGTCCATTTTGTTGTTGTTTTTTAACTGTAGTCATAAAAATCAGAGATTTTAATAGTAGAAAGTGAAAAACATAAACTTTTGTGTTTTTCACAAAGTTACAGAGGTTTTATTAGACACATAGCTAAGCGGTTTGCTGTTTGGCATAAATTGTGACCGTTGAAATTTATTTGGCACTGAGTAGCAGAAATGAGACTTTCTTGTCAGGTGTTATTTTTTTTTTGGAAAACAAAAACAGTTGCTGACAACTCTGTACACAACGGTAGACAGGTGCATAATAAGCAAGCAAGTAAGGCAGAAAATAGAGAGTTGTGATGGGAAACTAGTCTCAAAGCACACGGAGAGATGGTGGTGAGGGAAAGAGGGAAAGAAAGAAAGTGAGAATTCATTACAATCTTTTTCAAACGTGATCGTGATCTTGTCTTCTTGCTGGTTGAGTGAGTTTTGGTTGGAGAGTGAAGAAATCTGAAGTTTCGCAATCTGTGAAACGTCGGCTTTTTGCACCCAAAGGGCATGTCCTGTACGTGGGATCCACACTTTGTGTTTACATCTTTTTGCGGAATCTGTTTACCTGCTCTTTAATCTTGTGCTGTTTTGGCTTTTTGGTGATTGTTGAAATGGATTTATGAGTTTTTAGCGGAGTTACTGCGGATACCACACGTATATTTAAATAACAGATCTGGCAGTACATCACTCTTGCCCCCAGTACCGGGGGCATTGTGGGAGATGTAGTTTATGGTCAATGTGCGCTTTTAAGCAGCATATAGTAAACTTATTTTAAGACAATCATGCACAAGCTCCTGTGGGCCATATAAATGATTTGGCGGGCCACATTTGGGCTGCAGGCCTTGAGTTTGATGTGTTATATGGCATTCTAGCCACTGCTTCCAAACTGGATTCTATCTGAACCACCAGCTGTGGAATCTGCCAACAAAACATTGGCAGTAGATGATTTTGTTGCAGCTTGCAGCCTGTTCCTAACTGGTTGCTGATCTAGTGCATCTTAAATAAAGTTTCTCACAGACCCAGTGATCTGCCGTTAAGAATCTGAAGCAAAGTCTCAGATCTTAAGTCTAACCATTTGAACAAGCCAATTAAAAACAATAAAGAAAAAAATGATTCAACATGATTTCAGTACTAGTTTTAAGTTAAGCCTAATTTGGGAATGTGGTACGTTCCACAATTTTGTTGTACATGTACAATGAAAATAAAGAATTATTCTAGTCCATTAATAAAATGTATGTTTTTAGACTCAATACGAACACTGTTATTGTTCTATTCTAAAGTTGGGAGCTGTTACTGAGTCTAAGTTCTAGTCCCGGTTTCCAAGAGCTAGCCCAATTAGTCAGTTGTTATACTGAACAGGTAGTCAATGTGGACGTGCCAGGATGGGTAAGATATTCTCACATTTACTGCTACAACAACAGATATCAGCTTGTCACTAGGGAAACAACAAACAGGAATGGCAAGGGATGGATGGTTAGCAGCGATTGAACTTTAAAAATAAGATTAAGATACAGGATTGTTAACCCCTTAGCAGTCCTACAAATTTACAATTAGTCCCCTAAACCATCCAATGTACCGTGGGCGGTACGTCCGACTGCTAACAGGTTAACTAGTAAATGAACTATAGTTATCTAGGCATTGACATGCTGAGTTGCGAAACATACTGGATTTTTGGTTCATCTGTGAGTAATTCTTTCACTCACTATTGTCCATATTTATCAAAAGATAAAGATCTGAACACTTGTCTGTTCAAGACCACTTAGGATGCCTTTATACTCAATTTTTAACATTATTAGCAAAGCACACAAATAAAATGAAGCCAAACAAAAATAAAGGAAATGATCAAAAATCTATTCCACGTCATCCAAAAAAGTCTTTTTCAGGAAAAAAAAGGACTTAGTTTACATATTAGAGTTGTATTTAACCTGATTAAATGTACATTTTATTAGATGTAGCTAATCTATTTAATGTAATATGCAAATGTTTTTCTGTGCAATCTCTTAAATCTGAACAGTTACAGCTGTGAATACTTTGTATAGTGTATATATCCATTAATTTCTCTATTATTTGCTTTGTGCTCGTATTATTATTTTCTTCTGTGGTGGCAGTGTTTCACATCATCATAATACACAATAAAGGATTTTGTTTAGTTTCCTAATGTGTTTCTGCTTTTATCTTCCATTCATTCCAAGGTGGAGAAAGAGAAGATCCATGACCATGAGCGCCAGTGTTCGTATGAACACCTTAACCTGCTTCTGCATTTCATCATGGGCATCAAGGTGAGCCTGGAGAGCCTGCAACCCCAAAGCCTGGAGGTGGCCAGCCAGAAGCTGCAGGAGCTCCACCAGTCCCTCAGGGATCTGGAACTCAAGATGAGCCAGCTGGGTGGGTGTGTTGCAGCTCCTGTGCAGGGAGCATGTGCCCCGACCCTAACCACATCCTTCACCCCGCTGCCCAGTGCCATGGGTGCCGCTTTGGAACTGCAGCTACAGAGTGAAAAAACCAAAGTGGCTGAGCTAAGCCGGCGCTGCCAGGAGCTGGAGCTCAAAGTGAGCACTTTCGAAAACATTGTCTGCGTCCTCAACCGCGAGATGGAGCGCTCCTGCACTACCATGGAGGCCTACAACCGCCAACACAGACTGGATCAGGACAAGATTGAAATCCTCAATAACAAGGTGTTAAAATGACACATGACCTGTGAACATCCTCAATGCATCCCTTGACTTTACCACAGAGTAAACATAT